GGGGGGTCGTAAAAGCTCGACCAAAATCCCCATCGAATGCTGTGCCCTAAGTGCGCACCTTTCGAGGAGAAAATCGCGGCGTTCAAGTGTGAAGGGTGACTGGAGCGTCGAATATACCAGGGCATTTGCCGGAATAGAAGTCGGATCGGGGTGATCGTAGCTTTGCACAAGGGCTCTTTCAAGCTTACCTCCGCTTATACGCATTTTCTCGTTCGCTTCCAAGTTGACCAGAATCTAATGCAGGAAAGTGCGAATAAACAACTGTGAACCAGGACATGAGAATTTTAACCCAGGAATAAGTCTAGGGGGAAGAAGGTCTAGTGTGGGTGAATGACTACACAGCCTGGAGCTATTTTCCCACCATCTTTTACAGAAACCTCATTTAACCACTTGTAGAAGAAAAATGTTAGCAGCGGCTTCGTGTGGCTGTACCAAAACGCTCCAGCATAAACAAGTGGTTCAGCGGGTGCTGCTTACACTCCGCAGAGCCACTTTCCAGCGAGGCTTACCCACGCCTTGTGGACGCGACATGTTTTAAGTGAGAAGTTGTTTGTAGAATAGCTGGTAGGACCGACATCTGCGTCCAGCAACGGAATGAACGGATTTGCATAGAGAAGTTCAAATGACCAAGGAATAACAAGGTTTGGAATGTGTTGAATTACTTCTGCCAAACGAGTTGTTAGATGAAATCTATTACTGGCCTAGCTTTTCGACTTTCTCTTCTTCTTCAGAGGTCGAACGTCTCACAGTACGGAGCCTAGCTCCCGCTGCCTAGCTCCCTACCAATCTTACTGACACACAGCATAAGCTGGGCTCCTCATGGTGGGACCTTCCGCCTCTGAAAAACACGAGAAGGGCGGAATGTTAGGCCAATAAAAGGTTTCATCTAACAACCTCGTTTGGCAGAAGTATTGGGTTGGCACATAAGTAATGGCGTTTTTTTCAATTGAAAATTTTGTTCCAAAAGTGAAATGTTTTGCAAGCAAGCTTGATATCATCTGATAGGAAACTTCTCGTAGTATAAGAATATCAAAACAGCTTCGGTTGAGGGAATAATTTTTGTGAATTTTTTAGTCGTTGAAGTTGAAAGTGAAGTCGGCGAAAATTAGCACCTTCGACAACTGCCTCTATCGTCTACTCGAAGCAATGCTTAGCCTCATGAAATTGATAGGGCCCTCAAAGGAATCTCAATAGGACGCTTTGGAACGATTTTAAAAGTTTCCAAAGTGGCAACCTTCACCTCGCCGATATTCGGGCAGGCTCACGTCTGTTCCACCTGAAATTTATGTGAATGTTTTGCTGATAAGTTTTGCATGTTCTGATAGCAAATTTCGTGCTCTATAATACTGCAACGCAAGTCTGTTTTCCAGAGCTCTTTACTTTCTCTTAATTTCACGTTATCATTACGCATGAGGTCGATGAGAATTAGCGCTCCCGATTTCCACGAATCTTATGCTAATAATTGGATGTTTCGCTAATGTGTTTTAAATTCCCTGATAGCAAATTTCGTGCTCTATAACTGTGCGGTGCAATTATTTCGAAAATCCGTTTGATTTCATTGTTCTTCAGGTTAGATTCCTTCTTTCGAGTCGCGCCCACACGATTTTTACCGAGAAGGCAGCTGGCTGTTCGGTGGGAGGAGGTTATAAGAAACAATTTGGAACATATCATGGACTACTTTATTGTATATCTCTATTTTTTATGGTGTTGTGAATACCGTGTTCGAAATTTACTAAGGAAAACAAAAAAAAAATTCGTGAGGTATGAGTCGACCGGATGTCTGCAAGGTCAACGTTGTCGGTTGTGCTTTTTTTTCAGGATCAATTGTGAACCGTCCTAATACTGTTCTGTTACTCTATGCCTTGCTTGCCACTCTATTGAGCTGCTCTAGGAGCTTTTGGTGTTCGTGTCAGGCTGTAGCGCAGAGGAAGCCGGACGCGAATTCTCATGCTGACCTTACTGTCCGGAATGATAAACTTGAGAATTAACAGGAAAGTACAGCAGCCCTGAAGCAACAGATTGCCCATCGCTGCTGACTATAGTGCCACGAAATTTTGCTATCAGAACTGCAAAAACATATCAGCGAAACATTCAACTATTAGCATGAAATTTCAGGTGGAACAGACGTGAGCCTGCCCAATATCGGCGAGGTGAAGGTTGCCAACTTTGAAATTCGTTCCAAAGCGTCCTATTGAGATTCCCTTGCTGAGACTTCTAGCTCAACCTTTTCCAAATGTATGGAGCAGCTTAAGCGATTTTAGCACTTCGAGTAGACGTAAATAGAGGCAGTTGTCGAAGGTGCTAATTTTCGCCGACTTCACTTTCAACTTCAACGACTAAAAAATTCACAAAAATTATTCCCTCAACCGAAGCTGTTTTGATATTCTTATACTACGAGAAGTTTCCTATCAGATGATATCAAGCTTGCTTGCAAAACATTTCACTTTTGGAACAAAATTTTCAATTGAAAAAAACGCCATTACTTATGTGCCAACCCAATAATTAAACATTCGAAATTATGCTGAGATTAGAAAAAGGAACAACGTGGAGATTATTGGAAGGCGGAATGTTTGTAGCGACGGAGTTCCAGCACACATAAAAAACCGTTGTCCATTCGCCTAGTGCCCGCCAAAGAGAATTGGCAATAAACTTTTTCTCACAGCCGATTAGTTCCATTAAATGCTGTAGCACATTAGGATAGGACAAAGAAGTTGTACGTAACGTAATGAAAACGTAATGAACCTCCTTCTTCAGATTCCTGAGAGTCGCCTCGTCGGTGGAATTGACACAGATCCACATTCGTGGCCATGGGTGGTACAACTCACTTACAAAGGTGTGCACAAATGTGGAGGAGCGCTGATCGACGAGCAGTTCGTCCTGACAGCAGCACATTGTTTTGCCAAGAAGTGAATCGGCTATTTTTTCATGCCATTTCATTTTGCTTTGTTTCCAGAGAAGGCAGGGGATCCAGAGCGTGATTTCACCCCTGATTCTCTAATTAGGTTCTTCTTCTTCTTCTCCCTTCTTTCCACCATTTACTATGACTACTACATGAACCCACTCAACCTAAGTCACCTTCGGGGTATAGCATCGTTGCAGGAGCCTTACTGAAGAAGGGGCGTACTATCCGCAAGGAAGGTGGTAGGTATAGTGTTGTGCGCTGCAGATGATGGGCGTGTCATGCGGGATGGATGCTTCAATAACAGGTGGGGAACGAGCTGGCAGCTCGTCGAACCCAGCCTCACTGACGCGCCCCTTCTCCAAAGCGAATACGACTGTAGTAGAGGAAACAGGGTTGCTCAAGAGAAATTTCGGGAGAGGGGGGAGGGGGCTATGGGACGCACTTGCACCACGATGCTGTACCCCGCCAAGTGACAAGACAATCGTAGTGTACCGATGGGGGCAGCGAGCGACGCTGCGCCCGACAGACGAGTTGTTCGGACATCTGAACTCGAGCGTTGAAGGGAAGGGACAAGTCTATAGTCTGTCATGAGGTCTTGCCTCTATTTCCATTCTCACGAGTTTCGGTTCTCTAACTGTACGAGTTTCGCTTCTGTAACTGACAGACTGATGCACATCGGGAACCTTCCGCGCGTGGCCGCACGATACGCTGCGCGCGACAAAGTGACAGTTTACTATTGCCTTGTCCTCCCCACCTTTCTTCGTGGAATCAGCCGTATGTTGGTTATAAGCACCGTGAAACTTTCCCGTTTACAGCCGCATGCCGACAATGTACCGTATCCATGTCGGAGGGCACAGATCTGGTGGTGGCAGAATTCACTTCATCCGAAATATCTCCATTCATGACCTGTTCAATGTGGTGTGGCCAAGTTCGTATGATGTTGCACTACTCAGGTAACCCAATTTACAAGCTTCATCACCCATATAATTGCATAACTTGGTCACTATTCAAGGATTACTCCTTCGGTAAAACTTAATGGGAGCACTACTGCTCAAGCCATTTGCCTCCCATCATTTTCCGCTGTAACTCATCAAATGTGTGCTGCTGCAGGTAATTTAAAAATAAAATTCATCTAATATTCAGTATACAACATCTCCTTCCTCTGTGGGGGCGGCGAGTCCGCCGACAGCGGCAGCCGTCTGCCTTCGGATAATTGTTGAGGGGAAAAGGTTAAGCGGACTATGATTAAGGCGCAGTCATTTTCAGAGAAGTTGACTCGCCTCGTACTTTAGCGCAGCAAGAAAACGCTATCCTATCTTCTGGTGTATAAGGCGTACCCGTGTATAGGGTGCACCTAAGCCTCGTAGCATACCTTACTTTTATGGCCCCTAAAATAAGCAGAAAAAAATTCAGATGAATGCGCCTCTTACCCCAGAAAACAAGACGTCTACAGTTAAGCCTACAGGCCTCGTGGTACTATGAGCACTCCACTATGACTGCGTTCATGCTTCGCGCGAGCGAATCAGCCGCGTGAGTACGATTGACCGCGCTCCACCGCTAATCTTTGGACTGCTACAACTGCCAGTTCAATCATGACGCCACTTGGCATTTAGCGAGAAACAGAACTCCGAGCAAAGGGCGTCTTGAGCGTTTTGGGAGAACCGGCTTATTGAGCCAGCCGGAAATCCTGCACAGGGCGATACCTGTTTTCCTTTCCGCTCAGAAGCCGATTCGCTCAGCACACTGACCCTCAAAAAGGTGTTCTCCCGGAACACAGCCTGAAAGCTATATGGGACTTTGCAGCGGTCCAGTGGCGAAATACCGATTCAGGCGCGCGGCTACAGTCAGTTGCACTGCGCGACTGAATGGCTCGTCCCGCGAAGTATGAGGCGGTTTATGCAACCTTGTAACTGCATCATTTGATATCATAATTATGCATAACTCGACCTTTTTAATCGGCGAGTCATAGTATACGATGGAAATCAGTATTTCAATCGAGTTACTGTCTCGCTTTGTCTTCAGGATGGGGTATGACGAGAGAGCGTGGACGGAGAGCTGATGTTCTACAAGAGATTCACGTTCCCATCATCCCGTTCGCTCAGTGTAACGATCTCAGTCACTATGCAGGTCGCATCCATCTACCGTCTATGCTCTGCGCCGGCTACTCACAAGGCATCATTGACTCTTGCCAGGTGAGAGAATATTGATGACTCTTCATCACAACAACCATAAAATCTTTGCAGGGTGATTCTGGTGGACCACTGATGTGCTCCAGCATGGGTCGTTGGGAGCTTCAGGGCTTGGTTAGCTGGGGAATCGGATGCGGTCGACCAGGGCGACCTGGTGTGTATTCGAAAGTCCATGCAGCTTTGCCGTGGATTCAGTCAGAGATGAGCAAATTGAGAGATTAAATTTACTTTCTTCTTCTAGTCTAACATTATTTCACCAATGAAACATGCTAACGTAGCTTACGATCACGTTTTCATCACGGTGTAATGTGGCAACGCTACTGGGAGTGCACTTATACTCTGCGTTAGCGTTTTGAGCCTACGCCAGCATTTTGGGCGTTTCGCGGGCAGGCGCTCGCTGCCCGCGAAAACGCTGGCGTACGCTCAGAAGCTAGATCGATACCTATAGTTTCCTGCTCGCTCGAAACGCTGCTGTACGCTAGAAACGTTGACGCAAAGTATAAAAGCATTCTATGCTTCTTTTTTGCGCCTCTCACCATGAGTGTAATCCTCTGCTCACCACCCTGACCTCGACAGAGCGCAGGCGACCAGGGTCGCGGCGTGCTCCCTTACTATGTTAATGCCATTTTTACACTTTTTTTACGCATAACAACCACGTCTATTTTCATGATGTTGCCCGTACTAGTGAGTATAGTCCCTCCAAGCGCGGTTGCGCTGCGAGCGTCAACATATCGATCGATAATCGATTGTTTGGAAACCGAATTGCGCCGTCGGTCGCCGCAACCCAACCGTGTCTGCGAGAAATCCCAGCTGTTTAGAAACCGATTAATTGATTGTGATATATCATACGAATTCTAATCATTGCCATATTGTCGTGTAAATCAGCAAATGTTCTCATCAGAACTGCACAACGTATTTTACTGAGTTGGATACAGTTGACATGTTGTACTTGTAAATAAACAAAAATAAATATTTATATATTATGTATAGCTGTAGCGCAGTAATCACAACCATAAGCCATATTCAAGTGACACAACATCAAGCATTTTTCTTTCGAGGGGGTATCTCAGAGTGTACAAATGAGTCATTCCGACGTTACACAGGTTAGCGCTAAAGTGGTTTGGAGAAGGGGAGGGGAGGCTGCGCAGTTCCGCGATCAAGAGCGGGTTCATACTTGAGGCAAAGCAGCTTACAGACTTCGCGGACCACGTCAATGCGCTATATTCGCAACAGCGCTCAAATCCTTCGACGCGAACGCAACAGCAGACGAGAGTCGATCGGTGCCGGCGGCTTGTGCTTTGAGGTATACAGATAAAAGAGAGAGTTGCAGATTAGAAGGCAGTGCCTGTCATCCTATTATCCCATACTCTCTCAAAACAGAAGCGGCCGGGCCGATCGATTCCCAGCTGATGCGTTCACGTCAGTAGGACTAGAGCACTGTTGCAATTGCAGCGCGTCGACGCGCGGCATCGCGAAGTCTGAACGCTGCTTGAGCACTGTGGTCGATTTGATCTCGCAAGCGATGTGGCCACTCTGATCGGCACCGATCGCCAGCTTCGCACAATAAGAGCGAACAAATCTCGAAGTATTGAGGCTTACGGACAACTTGAACTCAATCCCTTTGAACGCGTCGATCTTCTCTTTTTCTCTGCACTCTCTCGTCCGCATGGCACTCTATGGCCGTTGTGACTTCGCTCACTCCAGCTTTTCACCGACTATAAGTAGCTCACCCACCCCGGAGTCCCCTCCCCTTGAAAAATCCCGTTTCCTGGCTCGCCATATGTTTCTTGCACGTTTCGATGGGTCTACGGACAACTAAAACTCAATCCCTTTAATGGCGCCAACTTTCTTTTTTCTCTGCGCTCTCTTGCCTGGATGGCGATTTATGGCCACTTTGACCTTTCACATTCCAACTTTTCACGCATACTAAGTGGC